CCACAGACTGATGTATTATTAGCCTGGCTACTCTGTCGCGAAATTCCACTCTGAAACAGTTTTTTTTTTATATACATATTTTTTTTCTCTTTTTCGAGCCACGCTCGCTCGATGTGTAATATTTTTAGATTACTTTCCCACTTGTCGACGACGCCTTTGTGAAACTACTTAGCATTAATTCATCGATCCTGCGACAACTCTCCACGATGTACTATCGGGAAACATCCGTCCATGCCGATCGTGTTCCGTTGAAATTTTTAAGCGTTCCGCCACCGCTCGGTTGATGGGTTTCGTGAATTATTTTAATGAGGTCTCTCCGTAAACGCGAAAGCACTACCGGAAAATCTGGTAAACAAGTTAACTCGCTTCAAAACCGAAATTGTTGGTTAACGAGCTACCAGCGCCGAGGGACCGACATCCATAAACAAAGAAATTCTTTAATCTGTAATATTTCATATAATATTTCCGTCGAACTCCCGAATATTTTCCGTACTTTTTTTCTTTCGTTAAATACGTTTTTGTGGTGTAAAGGATATCCATGCGAAAAGTATTAATTTGCCCGTAGACGAATGTATACCTTCGAAAGTGGACGATGTATATTTCTTTAGGAAAATCAGCCGTCGCGAGATGACGTTTTTTTTCTCTGCATCGGGAGGTGGTTCGAGGCGCTCCTTCCAGCGACTCTCACCCGGCTCCATTATGGAAATTCATTAAATCCCAGGGCCATTTGAATTCGTCGCTCCCCGCCGAATGTAAATTCCCGACGTACCAATTCCATAATTACTTTCGCATAATACGCATTTGTATGTATTACACGACACCGCCGCTACCGCCGTGACGGTAAATCTTGCTGGTTCGCGGCCCGTAAACAGCCAATAAGAATTCACGGATCGCGAGCAACCTGGACGGAAATGAAATCGACGGGGAAGTTTGTAATTTAATTGTGAACTGTTTCGACTGAAATATGGATCTTCCGATTTTGTTAAGCTCATCGAACAGACAGAGTGTCAGGTAAACAATATATGGTACAGCGTACGTTGTTCAGTCTACATTGATAGAATAAGGCAGCTTCAGTTTACGCAGTGCACTGTTTATTCAGGCAGTACATATATGTTAATACCATTGAAAAATTAACCGAAGTACAGTAATTGTTTGATTAACGCTTGAAACTCTGGACCCGTTTGGAACAGTTATCGTAGAGGAAGACGATTTCTGTACTTCGTGGATTGTGTCACATCATGAATTCTGTCACATCATGAACTTCATTTCTGGCCAAGCTTCCATTGTGGAACTCACCAGTAGTGGCGCTGAAACATAAGTATTTAACGTAAAGTTCCTTCCGCGCAGTTATCGAGACTTTACTGTATCGTGTAAATTTAAGCTCAGTCGTGCTTCAGATTCAAATTCGGAATTATATTCATCGCATGCTAGTTTCCAGAAGCTTCGTATGCCAACAACGAGTCTGTCATGATTTATCCCTGGCAGTTAAAAACAGTCCGAAAGCACGATAATAATGAAAGTTTCGACAATTACGATGAAACGGTCGAGGGAACACGTCGCTGCATCGTCGACAGAAGGTGCGTTCCGCTTGTTGCCCACCCACGTTTGCAAGCAAAATAGTATAACGGGGGTATGTCGTGTCTGAATCACGCGTCATATACCGCGGAATGATTATTGTGCAACGATGGGCTAATTAACGCGACGGTGTAATTTAATTAATGTTCCCCGTTGCCCCGGCTGACATTAGCAGTTTCATTGCGTTCGCCTCGGCCCTCTGACATTGCGTTATTAGTTGGTAAAAGTGTGTGGTGGCGTTGCCGCGAATAATGCTTCGTTAAAATTCACCGGAGGAACACATAACATCGGTCGTCGTGCGCTTATTCGAAACTGTAATTCGCATGAATGTAATTAAAACATACACGATTGTCGCATAAATGATGGTGTAATTTCTTCTTTTCTTTCGAGGTTCACTGGAATTCGAGGGGATTATTTTGAGAAGTATACGGATTTTATCAGTTTTTCACTTTGTGCATACGTAGATTTTCGATCCACGCGAAATTCTGTAAAAACGTCACAACAAGATGCACTTTTCTTGGAAAGTTCGATGGTACGTTTATCTTCCGTGTACGTGATCTGGGTCGAGGCAAGACCTTCCACAATGGGGTTCTACGTTACAGAGAAATCTGCAAATATTAGAATGGGATGGGTGGAGCAGACTTTTGATGCTCGCGGAACAGGAAATTTCATTCTGATACGATTCCCTGACAATAGCATCAAGTGCTCGATGCGTGTACGGCGACGCGGGCGGTTTAAACGGGCGACGAGTTCGATCCACTCCGAACCAGAACAGTTACGTCCAGTCAATATTATCATTACAATTTCAGAAGTCTATAGTTCACGGAGCCATTGTGGAGCTTTAAGGTTCAGAAGTTCGTTCGACGGTTGGAAAGGTTTGAAAAATACCTTTTCGTCCCTTAACTTCCTTCTCGATTGTACGGCATACAGTGTGCATCTGAAATACGATGACAACCCCCCGTAAGGAATACGCTAAAAGAATTAAAGTGGTGGTGTGCTTTCGAAAACCTTTCTTTTTACATTTGATTTTAAGACTGTTATTCCAAAGTTACACATTCCACCAGCTACCTATGTTTTCTTGTGAAGGGTATAGAAGATTAATCCTATATTAAAGTTTCTACATACCTTCCAATAATTTTGCTTTTTTTTTATCCCATAAGACATTGTACTAAAACTACGTAATAAACGTTTTATGTGAAGACTCCAGATTATTCCAGAAAAATATATTTAAACAAGCCTTATTTTCCCGACTGTCACCGTGGTGTTTCCCCTGAAATCTGATTCGAAACATTGAGACCATTTACATGCATCCTCATTCGAGAGGAACGTTGCGTTTGATATCAGTCGACGGTTTCTATTTTCCATTAACATCGGGGGTGCCGTGGACCAAAACAATGGGCTAAAGGATGGTAAAGCTATGTTCGCGAAATTAGCGTGTCTCATCAATCTCCGTTCGATCGCGAGCGAGCGAGCGAGCGAGCGAAAGCAGCAGCAGTCCCCGCGGGCGCGCGGGAAACGTTCGACAAACGGTAACCACTTCATCAGCGCGGATTAATCCGGCACACGGTGCTTTCAGTGTCTCATTAGTTACATTAACACGGTGACATCCGGGTGTAGCGAACGCCGCGTATATACCTGGTTTCTCCGTGATGAATAATTGAAATCAGCCACGCATCGCTCGTGAAAGGAGAGCCCCGAACGTCGATCGATAGGCTATCGCGGGTTTCGCCAATAATTAGGTGAAAACATCGCCTCCTACACACCTCCTCCACATCCCCATGGGATTATCGATTGTACACCATCGATGTAGCGCTTGGTTCTCTTGTAAACCGGTGGTGTGCCCGCTCCAGGTCCGCGGGTAACACGTAAGTGACCGGTTATAACGTAATATGCGGCCCCTCGTTACGTTACATTGTGCAATTATTATACGACAAACACATACGCATATATGTACATACAGGTACACAGATATACACGCATACAGGGGGTGTCTCAGGTAACTTAATCACCTGGAATAAGGACTCAACGGTACACTTTATGTAAATTTTTAGGCGTGGAACATACGCCTTATCATCTTATAAGGTACGTGCTCCTTCTGTGGGTCGAGGCATTCCAGAGATTTCAAGGTCACTTTGGTTTTTTTTAATAGGATGACCTGTTTTTTGTACCATAGATCGATAGAGTATGAAATTCTGTATTGAAGTTGAGGGGCATCAGTTCGAGTATTTATAGCTACTAGGTAGTGAGTACATATTCAGAATTATTTTGTAAATATCTCGTTAATTATTAGATTTAGGACGTATGAAGTTGAACATATTTTTACTCGGAATTTGATACGCTATCGTTCTTTGGTTCCGTCGAAGGTTAACGTTCTCTCTCGATTGTGTAAGCTCGAAAATATTTCCCGACCGGGCTCGATTTATCGTTTTCTTTGCCGTTCGTCGACAAAGTAGAATGATATTCCACGTGAATGTTTCCGACAGTCTTTAAACGGTTCTTGCACGATTATGTTCCTGACAGGTTTGATTGTAATAATTGCTTTCAAACGGCGACTATTCCGTTTTTCTGTTCGAATATTTTCCGGGTGTTTCGAAACAACGATGGGTGCTGTTTACTTGGGGGGGAATGTTTGAACAGAATATAAAAGGTAGAATTTTAAATAATTCCGTTGCTGCGTGTACTAGATTCGATTAAATCGGAAAATTGATTACCAGTTGAAATAGTGTCTGTCGTGCACCTCTGGAGCCCCTGAATGGTTAATTGAACCTCACGGACGGGCAACGGGGCAGGGGGGTGGAGAGGTCGTTATTAAATTTATTGTTGTTGCGCTGTGTTTTATTCGCTTGACTCCCCTTTCGATGCCAATATGGCAGCCACTGAAGGCGTGTAACCTCTGTAATTCATTGTTCATGGGTGTAATAAATCGGACAGAATTACATTCGCGATTCCGCGGGTACGTGGAAAACTGCTCGCAAAGGTGAGGGGGGGGGGGATTGAAAAATCCATTCGTCTCAGTCTGCTGGTTATTTAAAACATTTATATGGGCACGTTTATCGTGAAACTGGTTATCCTTGTCAGGATAGATTTTTGTTTTCAACTTTTGAAACAACTTCGGAAACAATTTTTCCAATCACATGAACGAGCTATAACTGAATCGTCCCAAGGGTGATCGCTCCACCCCCTGACTGAATTATGTAATGAACCAAGGATAGTTATACTGTTTGTCACCGATATATTCGCGCCATTATGTGTGCGGATTAGTGGACGCTAATATTGGCTAATTTGTCAGCCGAATGGCGACCCATAGTTTACATTGCCGACCATCGGAATTCGATCGGTGATTCTTCTTTCCCTCGGATTAGAACGTATCCGAAACGTACTGGACGCACATTCACAGCTGTTCTGATTTGTTTCCTTTGTTTCAGGGTCTTCAAGATGAGACTCACCAGGGACACCAGTTTATTTCACGAGGACGTCGTGTTCGAGGGTTCGAACGACCGAGATATCACGTTCGATCCGCTTCACGCTTACACCGGCACGCTCGAAGGTGAGTAAGCATTAATTTTTTGAAACGACACGCGAAACATAGATTATTAAGACGGCTAAGTAGTCAGGTTTGGTAACAATGTAACTTCTCTTTGGAAATTGATTACAATGTTTGGGCACTGTTTATTAATACTATAAACTGTATAAAGATTTTTTCATATACATACACAGGGCGAGTAAATAAGAACTACTGTCTAAAATAACTAGTTACCTATTGGTTGTTTCAAAAAACGTTCTAATGAATTATGTAGCATTTTAAAAGATGCATCGGATGGATATAATTTGATTTCTTCATATTTTATTTTCTTTAGATATCGAGATGACCTTGAGTTTTTTCAAGGTCAATGCATCTTTTTTTAATACCGAAATGCTATATGACGCTGAATTCGTCCGTGTATCGGCAACAATGTGGTATTAAAAAAAAATGCATTGACCTTTAAAAAACTCAGTCACCTTGATATCTCAAGAAAATAAGATATGAAAAAATCAAATTGTATACATTCGAGGCGTCCTCTAAAATACCACATAATTCATTAAAAAGTTATTCGAAACAACAGACAGGTAACGAGTTATTTTAGATAATAATTCTTATTGACTCACCCTGTGTATCTGTATATTACCCAACAAAATTTTTGTACAGTTCATAGTGTTAATAAACGTTGCCTAAACGTACTAGTCACAATTTGTATCCATTTTCTTGTAATTAATTCCCAAAGAGAAGTTACATTGTTACCAAATCTGATTGCCTAGTCCCCTTAAGAGATCGCGTGACCCTGTCGCGCAGTTTGACTTTTTCCATGTTTCGAACACAGTTCCGGGTTCGCTTTGTTATCGGTGAGTTACCAGAATCTCGGCTATCAAAGCCACGGAAAATAATAATTACAACGCGGTGGTACTCTGCTCTCGCATGAAATTACATTAATGATGTTTCACACCGGTCGACGTAAAGGTGGGCCATTTGTTTCAATTTCATTGCGGACCGATGAATTTTCGTTGCCGGTGGCTTATTCGGTAATTATCTCGCGTGAATTTTAATCCGTGACATACGTTACTCTGTCCCTTTGCTTTGGCCTCGTCCACGTACAATTGACGCCCTGAAAAATTAAAAATACACCAGTGTGTCTCGTATCCTTTCTGCGTTGATCGTGGAGTCGGTGGAATTTTGCGAATGAAGTTAATTGTTCTTGTTGGAGATGAAGTTGGTCGAAACTTTCGGATGGAGTTAATTGTACTATGTAACTACGCTTATGACGGTTCTGGACAGTAATTTAAAGTTCTATCGTGTTCATAACGACGTCTTCCCTGTTATGGGTATACACCACTTCTCGAAAGCTTAGGATTACCTCTTCGACGAGATAATAGTCTGCGATTTCTCTTAATGGGAAACCACGCAAACGGATTATACAAACCTTTCAACGCAGAACTTTCCCGTTTCACAACAGTAAGATTACTTCGTGATTTAAATTCTAAGGCTGACAAAGGAATTAAATAACACGAAAATAAATACGAACCTGATCTTTCCCAAAGATTAGGGGATCCAATCCATCCAACGGAGACTACGCGGTAGATAGACGAACGATTCTTCAAAGAATCTATTCAAAGAGGTAGAGCAGCGAAATAGTCATCTGGTAGGTTGGAAACAGTTTGATAATGCGGCGATGCGAGGAACAGAAACGGATCTGTGGAGGAAGAAAGCCAAATGGCGGAAAGAGATCCGCCGAGAGCTTATACGCGTTTCCTTTGAGTCTAGTCTCTAGAAGCCCAGCCTTTGCACGGCTTGCGGTTTTAATATACACACGGCTTGCTTGTGCATTCCCCGATCCCTTCGACTGCATTTTGTCGAACGGACTACGTTTACATATGATTTAATACCACGTGAAAAGGGGGTAATACTTCGTCGACGGGAAAACGCGAGTCGCGAGGGTCCAGACGCGTCATCGATTTCCCACCTAGCATTTTAATTTCACCGGTAAAATCCTAGCCGGAGGGGAGTGGAAAGATGATCGTCGAGTAGCTCTTTCTCAGCCGACCAACCGGAATTTCCCCCCTTCTGCCGTACGTTTTTTTTCCTACCTTTCCCTTCATTCGTACAGTTTCGTCGAGATTGAACAACCGACGCGAGAGCTTTTCGTTAAGCTTCCTCTGACGGATGAATTTTTTAACGAGCCGGGATAGACTAGCCCCCCGATTCCATAAATAATCGTCGGTCCAAGATCGAATTAACAATCGATATGGATGACTGAATTAACGAGCGATAACCAGGGAGCGGGGAGCACATTCAGCGGCGAATCGCTGCGAGTAGTATACGTCAATGGATATTCGGACACAGAGAGAATACGTCAGCATCGGGGGGAATAACCGACTGACTAAAGCTGTGTCTATACTGTATAATAAACCAGTGTTAAGGTGCGTTTCCATTATGTAGTAAATCAGTGTTAAGCTGTGTCTATACTGTATAGCATAACACGTTATATAACAAAATTGTGAAACTTGTTAGAACAACAGGACGTAGAATATTATATAACATGATGTTAGATAACATTTCTTCTCGTTATATAGCAAGTTTTACGTGATCCATCAAGTGGGACGACATTATTAATGATATGCGAAATGTTATTGTCCAGAAGGTATAATCTTGCAACAAGTTATAAAAACATGTTGTTAGCAAAGTTATATTACAATTTGTTTGATAAGACTGCTTTGCTAAATAGTGTAAACGCAGAGTTATATAACGAATTGTTATGTAACTTTGCTGTACAATACGTTTTTATAATTTGTTCCTTGATTATACTTGCTGGACGACTCTGCAACAAGTTGTATAACATTTCCCAACTCATCAATAATAATGGCGTCACATTTGATTGTATAACATAATTTGCTGTGTGACACGAAAAGTGTTATATAACATCATGTTAGATAACATATGTCTTTCTGTTTCTCTGAACAACTTTGCTACGTAACGTGTCGTCTCATACAGTGTAGACGCAGCTTAAGGGGAACATCAGTACTCCGAAAATTTTCTGTTTAAAACTCCGTGCTTTTCTAGGGGATAGAAGCATTGTCGAGCACTTCTGACCCTCTAAGGGGTGTGGTTTCACCCTAAATACACCGAATATCAGAATAAAAAAGACAAATTTCCCAATGCATCCATTTTGGTCCCCTACAAACGCGCGAAGTTGAACAAGAACGAGAATCTTCGGTCAAACGAAATTTCCTTGCGACTATTACGATATTATTATTTTAGAGCCAGGACTGCCTACTACGGAGAGGGTTTTCCTGAAAAAAAAAAATAACAGTCACATTCGGCCTCCTCGTCGGAAGTATTTTTTTAACGCGATTCATTGTTGCCAGTTCGACGGACCGCGTGAACGCGTCCGAGATTCACGTCACGCGGACACGTTCCGCAGCGTTTTATTCGATTACGTCGATTTTAAAACGCAGCCTCCCCACTCCCGCGGCGCGTAACAAAATTTCAATAACGCGTAACATAATTGCGCGAGCGCGTGCTCGCGCATCGGGAATATTCTCCGCGCCAGGGTTTGGGGGGGGGGGGGGGGGGGGGGGGGAAATTAATTCCAGGGTATTTTTTTCACTTTTTCGTCATGGCCTATCGTTTCCCACCCCCTACCAACCCCCCGTCAGTTTTCTCGTTTTGTTTCTTTGCCTCGTTTTTTCTCGCCTGTTCTTTTGTTTACTCCATTCTCGTTTTTTCTGCTCCTATTTCGCGTGTCCCTTCGCCCTCCCCTTTTCACTCCCCCCTTTTTGTATTCGTTGCACCCCACCAACCCCCGGTTACCGACGATACAGCAAGCCAAGTGGGTTATTGGATGGTTTCCAATATGCCCGCTCGCTCGACCACTGCGGCACTTTATGCGCCCTCATATCATTTCCACGGTTTTTACGGACGGGGGTGCGACCTGCTCACCCCTTCCCTCTGAGGGAGAGTGGCTCGAGGGCTGGATCATTTTCGAGATAATTTTTGCGCCCTGGTAAGTTGATTGGAATGACCGGCTTTGCACTCTGACGGTGTGTCTCACTCGCCACGCAGTTCTTTGCATTAATTTCAACGGTGAGTTCACTCATCATCATAGTATTCACATTAATAAAGTGATGGAATTAGAATCTGTGCAGAAGTATGCATCCAAAGTGAATTTCATAATTATTTTCATTTAATTTTGCACTTACTTTAATTAGCATCACCTTATCGTAGTGTTAGGACGTATTGATTAATTATACACTGCGTGGCATAACTGTAAAACCTCTGTAAAATCGTGAATTCTCATGTATCGTGGTTAAAATAAAAACGAACCATGTATGCCGTGTCTGAAATCGTATTCAGAAATACTGCTTCCCTAGAAAAGGATACATTATATTCCCTATAAAAAAAGGTGGTTCATTTTTATTTTAACCAAAATACATAAGAATGAAAATTTTCAGGGTGGTTCTATAGTTATGCCACGCAGTGCATATTATAGAGTTTGACGTTTAAATATATTTCTAGAATTTTATACTTGTGTGAAATATTCAAATGAAAAAGTTATTTTCAATTTGATTATACATTATACTTTTATTATTATTTTTTTTAAAATATTGTGGAGTTGATGGTTTCCCATTAATCCCTACCACCCAACAGAAGCTGTCCCATTTGATGTATAACATTGCTTATTTAAAACAACGTATTGCTCAATAAGTCGCACGAAACCGATGATTTCCCGTGTTTCCAATGATTCACCGTGTACGTGAAATTAGCGTGCACAGAATGCCGTGCGATAAAGACTGTTGGAAAGTGGCGAACGCGGAGAACCGCCAGCACAAAGTAACAATAAAGCCTATTTCTGGGCGCAACAGGGGCCGATGCGGACAAAGGGTGGAGCGACGTGTTAACACGCAGAAAGCGATTTCGTTACCAGGGTTAGTGGGAAGGGGGGATATTTCGACGATCGTAATGAGAATTTCCCAACGGTGCGAAGCTTCCCCCTGCGTTCACCCGAACTTTTCCAT